ATTCACCTACAGAAATAGACAAAGAATGAAGAGCACGCTCCCCCTTAATAAGGCTTCTCACTAGCAATTGCATGCAAACTTCCACCCACTGGCTAAACCTTAATCAGATGACCTGTAACTGAGAAGGCATCTTCGCTTAAACAAGACATTTAATTACCATAGAAGAAAGGGAGAATGTGAGATGCGGTAAAGAGTAAAGATTTGAGAGCTCCTTGAAGGCAGATGGAGCAAGGCCCTGTAGGCTGCTAGAGCTTTTTCTTAATGAGGTGAAGGCCATTGCAGGGCCTGACCTTTCAGGACAATGATCTGACACCCCTTTCAGTTGACCTGATATCCTTTTCCAAGGAATAACCTCTCTTGGCAACATACCCCAAAAATGCAAGATAAAACTTCATCATCTTTGCCTCCAAAGAGCATCACAACTGCATAGAAGGCGAAAAGATTGAAATTGCCAATGATTTCCTGTTGCTTGGATCCATAATCGAGTATCAGGTAGACCCTGACTACTGTGTGCGAACAGATGGTGTCACAGCTGGAAGCAGGCACACAGTTAAAAACCACCTATCCCATTTCCCTCAAGTCAGTTCTGACTCATAGTGACCCCATAGGACACAGTAGAACTGTCTCATAAGGTTTTCAAGGTCATAAGTCTTCACAGAAGCAGACTGCCACATCTTTCTCACTTGGGATGACTGGTGGGTTCGGATCACTAAGCTTTTGTTAAATAAATAGGTTTTTTGCATTTGAATAGGAAGGAAAAGAAGAGGCCTCCCCAGCAGATAAAACAGCCTGTGCAAAGGCACCTTCAAGCTTTCAAGCTTTGGGTACAGCAAGCATGAGGTGATAGAAAGGCAAGCAGAACCTGACTTTGGAGAAGCTGAGGGTGCTGGGACGTCATGGCAGGATCTGGATCTGTGAAGGACTAGATTAGCATTTTGAATGAGAACTGTTATTACTGCGATTGAAGTAAGTGGAAATGTATGCACTTACTAGTCAGAATCCTTATAAGAAAGACTGTCATTTGTTTCATTCTTTATTTGTTTCTGCTGCCTGGAATGTGAATGTGATGGCTTGGACTGCAGCAGCCATTCTGGACTACGAGAGGATCTTGGGAATATTAGCCATGGACAACAATAATCAAGTACTATATGAGAGCAGAACGGAATCCATATACATGCCCCCTCTTCTTCTCTAGCCCCAGGGAAGCCTCTGGTACAGGATGGCAATGCAGTGAAGACATGAGTGGCCTTGGGTGATGGATAGCTCAGTAGGAAAAGATCACATACATTAGACGTGTGACATTTTGAGGACACTAGCACACCACTGTGCTTCAGCCTCTGGCATCCAGAAGCAGCACAAAAAGCCTTTGTTAGAAGCACTTGATGTGAATGTTTTATCTGGGAAACCAGAACAGGGCACTGGAGCCAGAGGGCAGGGTCACTGCTTCTTGGCTTAGGTCTCTGTTCTGTCCACTCACCCTGCCCAGCTGAGGGTGATGGAGGGCAGTGGGAGGGCCTCTGAGCTGGAGGGCCTGTGGGAGAGTAGACAAAGAGCTACAGCCCCTCCCTGACCCCACACCAGCCCCCGCGCTCCCTGCCCAGTGTATATCTACCCAGACAGCAGGGAACAGACCTCCACCTGTGAAGTAGGTCTTTGTTCTCCTCTTCCTGAATGCAGCCTACCTTGAGGCTCAAAACAAGGTGTCCCCAGGTCAGAACTGGAGACTGTGATTTCTGCCTGTTGAATCCACAGAAGAAAGGGTTCCCAGTGTCTAATGACCAAGAAAAGCAGCCAGAAACCTCCAGAATGCCACCCCCCTCCACAAGGCAAGTGTGGGTGGTTAAGGAAACTGTCCAGGCCTCTGCCTTGCTGAGGCTCTGTGGCCTGAGGTACAGAAAGCAGCCTCCTGTGAGGTGTCTGACAGGTGGCAGTCATCCTGCGGCCAAGGATGAAATCAGCACTGAAGCCAGGGCTCAAGAAAGGAAAGAGAAGGCTCTCTGCTCCTCGTTGATCCAGATTGCCCTCTCTTCTTGTGCAGCCTCAGCCGCATCCCTGTGACACGATGGTGAAGGTCAGAGTAAATGGATTTGGCCGCATTGGGCGCCTGGTCACGAGGGCTGCATTTAACTCTGGCAAAGTGGAAGTTGTTGCCATCAATGATCCCTTCATTGACCTCAACTACATGGTCTGTATGTTTCAATATGATTCCATCCATGGCAAGTTCAACGGCACTGTCAAGGCTGAGAATGGGAAGCTGGTCATCAATGGAAAAGCCATCACTATCTTCCAGGAGTGAGATCCCACCAACATCAAGTGGGGTGATGCTGGTGCTGAGTATGTTGTGGAGTCCACTGGTGTCTTCACAACCTTGGAGAAGGCTGGGGCTCACTTGAAGGGTGGTGCCAAACGGGTAATCATCTCTGCTCCTTCTGCCGATGCCCCCATGTTTGTGACGGGTGTGAATCATGAAAAGTATGACAACTCTCTCAAGATTGTCAGCAATGCTTCCTGCACCACCAACTGCTTGGCTCCCCTGGCCAAGGTCATCCATGACAACTTCGGCATTGTAGAGGGACTCATGACCACAGTCCATGCCATCACTGCCACCCAGAAGACTGTGGTTGCCCCTCTGGAAAGCTGTGGCGTGATGGCCGTGGAGCTGCCCAGAACATCATCCCTGCATCTACTGGCGCTGCCAAGGCCTTGGGCAAGGTTATCCCTGAACTGAATGGGAAACTTACCGGCATGGCTTTCCGTGTCCCCACCCCCAATGTGTCAGTTGTGGACCTGACCTGCCGTCTGGAGAAGGCTGCCAAATATGACGACATCAAGAAAGTAGTAAAGCAGGCATCATAAGGGCCCCTCAAGGGCATCCTGGGATACACTGAAGACCAGGTTGTCTCCTGTGACTTTAATAGTGACACCCACTCTTCCACCTTTGATGCTGGGGCTGGCATTGCCCTGAACGACCACTTTGTCAAACTCATTTCCTGGTATGACAATGAATTTGGCTACAGCAACCAGGTGGTTGACCTGATGGTTCACATGGCCTCCAAAGAATAAGAGCCCCTTGGACCAGCAATAGCACTAGAAGAGAGAGAGACCCTCAGCTGCTGGGGAGTCCTTGCCCCAACTTGATCCTCCCACACACTGAGAATCTGACATCATTGACACAAGTTTCCATCAAATCCCCCTGAGAAAGGGGGGGAGGGGCTTGGAGAGCCCATCTTGTCATGTACCATCAATAAAGTACACTGTACTCAATCAAAAAAAAAAGGAAAGAGAAGCCTAGAAAGACCCAAAGAAATAAAGTTCAGTTGGAACAAGCCCCAGGAAAGTAAGCCCATCTCAGACTCTTCCTTCCCTGTTGGTTTGTCTGTCCTCTACCCCCAGGCCCACCAAAAGGACCTCATTAAGGCCTGGCTTTGTCTCTAACAGGCCAGTCACTTAGTCTCTCTGAGCCTGTCTCCTTGTCTGTCAGATGCCAATGGGTGTACCCAGCTTGAAGGGTGGTTATGTTGAGCATTTATATACAGTATGCAGCCTGGCATAGACGCTCATTTGAGCTACTTCACAACCCTCTTCTAAACCCTCACCCAGTATCTTCTGTTTCTTTCCTTTCCTCCTGTTCTCCTGCAGACACGCCCTTCTCAGAGGCCCTCCCACTGCCCTCCATCACCCACCTCTGGGTGCATGGCCAGAGCAGGGTCACCGAGCCAAGAAGCAGGGACCCTGCCCTCTGGCTCCAGTGTCCTGGTCTGGTTTCCCAGCCCAAAAACCCAGACCGTGTGCTTCTGACAGAGGCCTTTTGTGCACTTTCAGGCCAGAGCTTGGAGCACAGTGCTGGTAAACATTTAACAACCAGCTCTCTTGTCAGAGGAGAGGCTTTGACTTACACTTAGAACCACAAATCAAACTCATTACCACCCAGGAGGTTCCAAATTGTAGTGACCCTAAACTTTTGCTGGTTTGCATGGTGTAAATACTCTCACTGTGGTCCGTTTCAAGCTACCAGCAAGCCACAGCTGCCCTGCAGAAAGTAGGAAGACACACACTCAGCCTCCTTCTGGTCCCCAAGGGCATGCTCTTCCCTAGCTCCCAGTCAGCCTGCACAGTCCTTCCACATCCTCCTCAGGATGCCATCTCACTTCTGATCTCGGTCATGTGTTACCTCCTTAAGGAAATCTTTCTGGCTATATCATTTACTATCCTCCCTCTCCATTCGTTGTGTCTTGACATCGTGGTTGGTTTTTTCCAGAATTGCATTTATCACAAGCTAATAATTCTGTTTACTTACTGGCTACGTGAAAGGAGCCCAGGTGGTGTGTGTAACATGCAGGGTTCCTAACCAAAGGTCTGGGGTTTGGATCTGTCAATGATTCAGGAGGAGAAAGTTGAGGAGTCTCTTCCCATAAAGCTTTGCAGCTTTGGAAACTCCATGGAGGGTCACCATAAGTTGGAACTGACTCGAGGATAGTGGATAATGACTATATATACTGGTTCATGAATCTGTCTCTAAACTAAGAGTAAGTGGCTGAGGCTGGGAAGCATATCTATTTCTTTCATTTTTTTGTAACCCAGCACCTAATAGAGGGTCTGGAGCACCATGGTGATTAAATTAACAGATGGGTGACTTTGAGAGGATGGCTTGCTGATGATAGATGGAGTTGGATGGTGGATGTCTAGATGATGGATGGATGGTGGATGATGGAGAGATAGGAACAACTTTCCAGTATGCTGTCAGCATCTGAAGGGCCCACACCATAACTAAAATCAACTCTGAATCCCTAGCAAATAGTATGGTAACTCTACAGAGTAGACACCTGGTGAACTTTTTGATGGTTGGGTGGGCACATGAAAGAATGAATGAATTGGAGACAAAATACAGCTTCCTTCTGTCTTTTGAATGTCTTCCTGACCCTCCCATCTCCCATGACTTATCCTCCTCTGTACGTGGGATGTAGCAACATATGACATCTGATAGCCTCTGCTGTTCACAGGGAGTGACCTGGCCTCAGTGGACCCCTTGGTCTTGGAGCAGTATGTGGTTGTGGCAAACTACCAGAAGCAGGAGAGCTCGGAGATCAGCCTGAGCGTGGGGCAGGTGGTGGACATCATCGAGAAGAATGAGTCAGGTAGGGACCCAGACAGCCTTCCTCCCCACCCTACACTGTCACCAGCCCTTAGGGCTGAAAACCACTTGGACATTTGGAAATTGCTTTGACCAGTCAAGTTGACGATGTTCCCACGTCCCTGGCTGATGCTTCTTTAGAAACCTGGCCTCTCAATTTAAAGCTAATGTAATGGTGAGACTAGCCAATCCCATTTGTATAAACTGACACCCTACTTGCGTGATCCTGTCATCATTGTGCAAAGTCAAAGTCAATGTCCATGAAAGCTGTTTTGAAGAAGAAATCTTTGATGCCACAGAGATAGTCTGAAAAAGTAATGATTTCTCTCTTCTATGATCAATACTTGCTTCTGTACACCTGAGTGAGTGTATTTTGCTGTTAGATGCTGATAAGATGAGCTGCTGGACCAAAACATACACTTATTTCATACTTTAAGATATTGCCAAATTACCCTCTTCCAAAAAAGAGTAACCTCTAGGTATATGGACTATGAAGCTAGATTGTCCAAATGTGAATGCGGCTTTATTACTCTCTGTCTCATAGACCCCTGGGCAAGTGTCTAGGCCTTGACTTCATCTGTCAAGAGGGGTAATAACAGTATCCTGCCCGTGAGGCTGTTTAAGGATCCAGGAGGTCAGCAATAGATTTGAAGCATTGAGGACAGCATATGACAGACCTGGCAGCCCAGTTTGCTGTCAGTGTCAGTGTCAATGTCCCTACCCCTACACAAGTGCCTAAAATGTGAGTTTTAGTATGGATAACTCTGACTTTTACTTACCCACAGTTTTACTGACCCTATGGTTTCATTCATTCTCATAGACAGCATTCTAAGTCACCATAACATGTATGTTGGAACTAGAATAAAATAGTATGTGGCTTCTGCTTCAACAGAGACTTCTAAGACCAAGCAGCTTGCTCAGGGACTCTGTTCTCTCTTTCTCTTCTCCTCCAGCAGCTCTAGGCCTTGGCTGTACATGCTGTTGGGGAACCCATCCCAGTTTTTCATTTCTCTTGTGCAGAGCTGCTTGTTACAACGGACTGGAAGAGATTCATATTTATTCCCATTCCTAAGAAAAGTGATCCAACACTGTGGAAATTATAGAGTGGTATCACTAATATAACATACAGGCAAAATCCTGGAGATTATCCAAAAGTGACTAGACAGTACATCAACAGAGAACTACCAGAAATACAAACTGGGTTTAGAAGAAGCCATGGCACAAAGGACATCATTGCCCATGTCAAATGAATCTTGGCCAAAAGCAGAGAGTACCAGAGGAATGTCTGTTCATGTTTCATTGGCTGTGCAAAGGCATTTGACTGTGTGGATCACAACATATTGTGGCTAATCTTGAGAAGAATTGGGAATTCCAGAATACCTGATTGTGCTCATGCGAAACCTATACTTGGACCAAGAGGCATTCATCAGAACAGAGCAAGGAAACACTGCATAGTTCAAAATCAGAAAAGTTGTGCATCAAGGATGTATCTTGTCTCCATAACTTTTCAATCTGTATGCAGAACAGGTTATTAGGCTGGGCTTTATGAGGAGGAATGTGGCATCAGGATTGGAGGAAGACTCATCAACAACCTGCATTATGCAGATGACCCAATCTTACTTGCTGAAACTGAGGAGGACCTGAAGCACTTGTTGTAGAAGGTCAAGGACTATAGTTTGCAATATGCATTGAAGCTCAACATCAAGAAAACTGAAGATTTTCACCACAAGGCCAATTACAGCAACATGATAAATGGTGTAGAAATTGAGATTGTTAGTAATTTCAGCTTGTTCAGTTCCACAATCAACACTCTCAGCACTGGTAGTCAGAAAATCAAAATACAAATTGCTTTGGGAAAATCTGCTGTCAGGGACCTCTCCAGAGTATTGAGAAGCATTAATGTCAGTCTAGAGACTAAAGTGTCCCTGATCCAAGCCATCATCTTTGCCGTTACTTGCTATGCATCAGAGAGCTGGACAATGGCAAGGGATGACAGAAGAATTGATGCCTTTGAGTAGTGTTGCTGGAGAAGAGCATTGACCATATCATGGACTGCCAAGAGAACCAATAGATCTATCTGTCTTGGAGAGGGTGAAACTACGTTTCTCCTTAGAGGCATGGATTTTGAGACTCCTCCTCACATAGTTTTGTCATGTTGCCAAGAGGGACCAGTCTTTGGAGAATGGCATCATTCTTGGAAGGGTGAAGGGACAGCGCCAGAGAGGAAGACCCCAGATGAGATGGATTGACACAGCAACTGAGCTAATGAGGTTAGGTGTGTCAGAGACAGTGAGACTGTCTCTGGATAGAGCAGAGTTGAGAGCTATTTGTGCTATGAGTTGTAGTCAACTCAACGGTCTAAAACACCGACAGAGCTGCTTGGGCCCTGTCAGAGCCCTTTTTCATTAGAGACAGTTCAGGTGTGACTCAGAGGCTTCCTCAAGCAGTTACAGATAATTCTTGTTTATTTGCAGTAGGTATGTTCTATAAAGTCGACGTAAGCACCAAAATAGTGAATATTGAGCCATTCATTGCTCTTGGGAAATACAGAGTTCGGTTTCTGCAAGCTTGTGGTCCCAGCATTTTTGTTAGCTGATCAGTGCATCAGTTGTTTTTTTGTCTTTCTGTTTAAGAGACACCTGGTTAAATATATGCTGTTGGTTTGTTAACACTGAACTCGCAGCCAGTCAATATCTGAGCAGAGCTCATCTAACCTGTTATTTTCTTCAGAAGTCATCTCGCAGGCAGCATGTGCTTAGAACAGCACTTCAGCAGTCTCTTTGGAGTCAGTTTTAAAAAAGCAAAATTACCTGCAAAAAACCACAAAAGGTGAAAACGATGACGCCAAGCAGGTCGTGGAAAGAACGCTTGTTTCCGCCAGAAGAGCCAAATCAAGAAGGCCAAGTGTCAGGTCATCCGGGAACGTGCTCACCGGGCCACACGCACTGTTCCTCACTCCACATGTTCTCACAAATGACTGTGAAAGAGCTGCGAGTATTGATTGTGGGACAACATCGATTTTAACAAGTAGACAGATGCACAGATCCAGACTGTGAGTGACGTGGCTCTTCTGTACGTCTGCAGCCAGGTTTACTGTGACACGAGCCAGTGCTAAAAGGATATCTCAGATAAGGTATTAGGTCAAAGGCTACAGTGTCAGGCAGTCCTGGCTGCATATCACAGCCGGGTCATGAACCATGGGAGCTTGGACAGTCTGTTCACCTCTTTGAGCTTTGGTTTTCTCATCTGTGCAATGGGAATGATAATAAAAGATAACACAAGTAAAATGGTTAGTGCCTTCACAGCTTAGTGAAGGTCCACATTCAGTACTTGCAATTTAGGACCCTCTTACCGATTGTCTATAGGTGTAGGAGGCAGAATCTTATTAACCTGTTTGTGGCAGTTAGCAGTCAGCTAGCATCGCTGGTTGGATCTTACTTGTGAATTGATGACTCTGTGGCCTTGCCCTGATTCTTAGCTGATTTAGTGGCTGAATATGCTGTCTGGCTTCGAGTTCCTCTCACTTGACCAGACTAACGTCCATCCGCACCATTGCTTTCCCAGGTTGGTGGTTCGTCAGCACCGCAGAGGAGCAAGGCTGGGTCCCTGCGACCTGTCTTGAAGGGCAGGATGGTGTGCAGGATGAGTTTTCCCTACAGCCTGAAGAAGGTAGGAAGGGGCTCTAGCCTCCAGCATGCTGGAGAAACTGGGCCAGCCACTGTCCTTCTCGCCCAGTCGGGCCCTTGAGCCTCTGCTTTCAGGTCTCAGGAAAGCTCAAACTCCATAGCCTAGGTTATGAAGACTAAGATTGAAGGGCAGGGCTGCCCTTGCTAGGAGCCTGTGATGTGAACGAGGTGAGCCAGGTTAAAGTGAAGCCTGACTTCTCCCAGGAGGAATCTGCTAGGGCTAAGGAGTGGTGGTGTGCTGCATGGAAATAGTAATCTTAGACATCAACAGGTCATGATTTCACAATTTTCTAGCTTCCAGGACACTGGAGTGGCTTCCAGCTTCTTTGCAAGATTTGAACTAATCTGTTTCAAAATCCCTGCTTTCTCTTTTGATTTAAATGACCCTGACTGGGTATGAGGATCACTGGCCCACCCTCCCTCTGTTCCCCCGAGATGCGCACCTGTGTGGACACACACCATGTTGCTCATCTCTTTCCCAGGCCCGAGTTCTGAGTGTGCTTCCTGTCACGCCAGGAATATCAAGGACCTGATAACTCCTTTGCACTTAGCCTTTCTAAAACTCAAATGTGGCTTCATTTTATCTAATAAGTCTCGGGGTTTGGGTCTGCCAGACCTGTATTGGAATGTCACCTCTACCCCATACTTACTGAGGGATTTTAATTGGACCTGCAGCTTAACCTCTGTCTCAGTTTTATCATTTGAAAATAGAAACCATAGCTCCACCAGAGGACTTTAAAAAAAAAAAATGAGATCCTACATACAAAACATTTAGCAAAGAACATGGAAGATAAATAACCAGGAGCAGTTATTATTATATCCCTCAGCTTTCATTTATTTTTAAAAAGTACATAGTCACTTTAAATGTGCACTGTCTGAAGAGGGTGAGCAGTTATAAGGCATTTCTGTTTTCAAAGTTTAGCCAAAAAGTATGTGTGATTTTATATTCAGTGTTTTCTGAACCGTGCTCCTCAGTTCAAATGTCTGTTAGTATTCTCTGAGTAAGAGTGTTTATCAGGCACTAAAATAAACCAAACTAAACCCGTTGGAGTCCATTCCAACCTATAGTGACCCTATAGTACAGACTAGAACTGCTCTATCACGTTTCCAAGGCTGTAAATCCACAGAAGCAAACTGCCGCCTCTTGATCCCGTGGAGCTCTGCCTGCTTCCAGCTGCTGATAGTTCCATGAACAGCCAGGAACTTAACCAGTGTTCCACCTTCCATACCTTCCATCAGATCTGGTCTCACATCAGGGATACAAGAAGAACCACTCAGACAAATTGGTCGTGGTCTTTTTCATGGACTCTACTTCTTTAGACAGTTAATGAGTGCTCTGGGCATGCCTTTCTGAGGAGTGATTGTTAGTCCATTTTACAGAAGAGGAAACAGGCTCAGTCCTATAGAGCTGTCTCTCCAGGGCTGCACAGCTAGGGGCAAGACCAGATTTTCCTAAAAGTTTGCAGTATTTTCTGCTTTCTAATGTGAACGCTTCTCTTAGTACTTATGCATAATCAGGCTTGTTTTAGGATAAGGAGCCCTAGTGGCATAATGGTTAAGTGCTTAGCTGCTAAGGAAGAGGTTGGCGGTTTGCACACACCTAGCAGCTCCATGGGAGAAAGCCCTGGGGATTTGCTCCTGTAAAGTTTACAACCCTGTCAGACAGCTCTCTGTCAGGTGAGATGGCTGTGCCTTGGACTTGAGTCACCAGTGCACAACGGAACATAATTGGAACTAATGTCTGTTGAGATACCTTTTCACTCGAGCTCAAGGTTGATACTTAGGCGTTTCGTCCTTCCTGGACTCGTGGGTGTGAATCGAGTCAGAAGGCACGTGCTCCTAGTGGGCACTCACCCTGCTGCCCTTTGCTTTAAGACACTGCAAGTGCTTTCCTCTCACCTCTGCCTTCTGCCCTCCCCACATGCTGCCGTCCAGTCTCCTGGAGGTACTGGTCCTTGCCCCGGCCTGTGGGCCGCCGCCGGACCCTGGGGGACTTGTATGCCATCAGCTGGCGTCCAGGTGCCTGCTTCAGTGTCGTCTTTCCCACTGGGTGTTTGGAACCATGCCCTGCATTTGCATGAGTCCCTGTTGTGGGCCTGCTCGTGCTTGTTGCATGTGGGAGCCAGAGAGATCTTGTCCAGAGAGAGAGGGAGAGTGTGTGTGTTGGCATGTGGGTTTGGTACCTGGAAGCTTTTCTCTGCCTTGAGCTCTAATGTTTCCCATGTTTGAAAATGTTGCATGGGGTCCCCAAGCTGCTACAGTACTACACCTGTTACTGTCATCAAGTGCCTTTACATTTCAAGGCAAGGAAAACTATATCAGGCTGACTTAACTGGAGGGGAACACCAGGGTAGTGTAAGCCAGCGTGAAGCATGGCTGAATCCTAGGGCTTGAAAATGTCACCAGGACTTGTCACTGGGACTTAAAAGTCTCACTAGGGCATATGGCTCATGTTTACCCCTCTCTGCTTTGTCCTCTGCTCTGTTGGCCCATTCTCTGAAGCCTGTTACCTGTCAGGATGCAGCAGCTCCAGGCACCTTTCCCCTGTTACCCACCTTCAAAAGAAGCCCCAACGGTGCTTCCAGCTGGACCCACTTGGGTCTCATGCTGTTCCTGAACCAGTCGTGGAGGCCAGGGGGATACAGCATTTTGCTACCCTGCTTTTGCTGCCAGAAGTGTTGAAGTCAGCCTCACCATCATGAAGACTAAGGGGGACAGTGGCCCCAGAGGCAGAGCAAAGAGGCGCCAGGCAGGCAGGAACAGCAGGCATGTCCATATGGTGTGCAGTACTTGGAACTGTGGGCTCTCTATGTGTCGCAAGCTGCCAGAGAGCCCCATGCCTGTGCACCACAGCCCAGGAGTTCAGGGCTTCTGGGACTGCCCCTGAGAGGCTCCAGGCAGAACCTCACCACATCCAGATGGATCTGCTGCACATCCACAGAGCTATGCTTCCCCACCAGCCCCCTGCACCCACACCTCACCCTGCAGATTCCACAAGTGAGGGAACCTCTGCATCTGCTGTGCACAGGACTTGGGCAGCTGGGGTTGAGCTCAGCCCCCCACAGGCAGGTCAGCAGGCTTAATCAGTCAATAAATAAATGCCTTGCAGACTCCTCTGCCTCCTACAGGAAGCCTAGGATGTCAATATCAACATACAGGCCCTAGACACCAGCCACAGCTGGGATGGCCTCACCTGAAAGGCTGGAGTACAATCAGAACAGGCTGGTCGGTCCCCATCCAGGCTGACCTCCCAGTAACGGGGTCTACCCTTCCCATCCGAGCAGGGGGGACAGTGTTGGGGAAGGCACAGAGCACTGCTGTGACTCAGCTAGGGCCAGCTCTCTAGATGGGGCGGAGGGCTGTGAAGATGATCCAGTGGCTTCTGGGAGAGCCGCCAGAGAGTAGGGCAGAAGGTACTCCAATCACATTAATAAAAAAGGAAGCTTCCGCATGGTTGGACCAAGGGCTTGAAAATAATGAAAAATGAAGAGCACAAGCAGCTGATGAGCATTGCCGTCCTCCGTGGTGGTCTCAACCTCTGACCTTCTGCTGCCAGATTCACTCACCCAGGATGTTTCTACCAAAACCTGGCAGGAGGCACAAAGGGTGACCCCCTCTTTCTGAGCAGGGTGGCTCCTGCCAGGCCTTCAGGACGTGTTAATTTACCAGCCATTGGCTCACTTATCATGGCATCCCCAACGCCATGCCCAGTGCTGGGAAGGGAACAAGACTGACCCAAATCTCTGCTTCCATGGAATTCCTGATCTAGGAGGGTAACCAGATATAAACCGACATATAAGTTACACTTAGAGCAGGTTAGATGGTCATTCCTGGTAGGAGGAAAGAATAAACCAGAGTCGGGGATGTGGAGAGCAGGTGGGTTCAGAGGTAGAATTCTCACCTTCCCTATGGGAGATGGGTTCAGTTGATGGCCCAGTGGACCTCCTGCTCAGTCCCCTCTGATCCACTGGTGGAAGCTTGCCTGTGGCACAAAGCTGACAGACTAATAAGAAAGGTGATCTACTCCCCAGTTCGGCCTGTGTAAACCCCATGCCTCACATCAGTTCACCGCCAGTGAGGGAGTGGCACAGTGCTGGGCCTCATTTCATCCCGTTTTGCATGGAGTTGCTTTGTCAGTGCCCACCCCATGGCAGCTAACAGCAAGGGCAGGATGAAGCCAGGGGTTAGGGTAGTGTAAATGTGGTGAGGGAGGGTAACTTCTAGGCACAGATTTGAAAAAGATGAGGATGAATGTATGAAGGAAAGAGATTTCGGAAGGATTGGGCCCTGCCCTTTGTCCCGTGTCCTCTTGTTGCCTGACCAGTCACCCTGGGTTTAGTGGGATCTCTGGGGGAAATATGGATTGCCACCTTGGCATTCAGCATCCTATGTCTCCTTCCTAACCCAGCATCCCTTTGTCCACACAGAAGAGAAGTACACGGTCATCTACCCATACACAGCCCGTGACCAGGATGAAATTAACCTGGAAAGAGGGGCCATGGTGGAGGTTATCCAGAAAAACCTGGAAGGCTGGTGGAAGATCAGGTACCAACTCCGCATCCTGCTGCCGGCTGGGTGGGCCTCAGTCCACCAGGCCTCCGGCTTCACTGAGCTCTGTAAGTGATTGCAGAGGAGAGAGGTTTAGGCTGGAGCTGAAAGGAACATTTCCCCATGCTGTTTGGATTCCCTCCCTACTCATATCCTTCCTGCCCTAAAGGTCTGTAATGAACAAAACCTTCTCCAAACCCTAAATCACGGGGAGCAGTGACCCTGTTGCTGGTTCCCACCTCTTGATGTTCCTCGTGCTATTTGGCTGAGAGGGAATAGTGACCCCGTGTTAGGGACTCCCAACCCACTCAAAGGGAGAGATGATGCTTTAAAACCAGACTGACTTAGCAGTGAAAGTTCCAGAAACCGCCTTAGTCACCCCAATAGTTAGGCTGCAGTGGTGGGTATTAGGGTGAGACAGGAAACCTGAAATCCCGCAGACTGGCATATGCCACCATGATGCATGCCAGAACTTTAGGGCCGCTCACATGGGGCCAGGCACACAGCATGCCATTCTCTTATTCAATTGTTTGCTTAGCAAATACACATCAAGAATTGGTTTGGGGCCAGGCCCTGCGCTGGGAGCTGAGGAGTCTAATGGTGAACAAGACAAGATAGTTTACACTGAAGAATACAGAGGTTAGACCCATAGGCAGTTACAGAATTGGTGGGAACAGAGCGTCAGGGGGTGCAGGCTGTGTTAGCACACAGAGGAGAGGCTCCGGGGACCAGGAAGGCTTCCTGAGGGAGGAACCACAAAACTAAGGTTTGAAGAAGTAGTGGTAATGGTAGCTGACCCAAACCAAACCCCTGCCATCCAGTTGATTTCGAGTTCATGGCTTACTCTCCATCAGGCTGTAAAGATTAACAATTAAAGGTACAGCCGGGGTGCTCTTTGGAGGCGAGAATAGAGAAATTTCATCTCACATACTTTGGGCGTATTGTTAAGGGGGGCCAGTCCTTAGGAAAGGACATCATGGTTGGCAAAGTGAGTGGTCAGTGAAGGAGAAGAAGACTCACAATGAGATGCATTGACACTGTGACTGTAATGGTGGGCTTTAGTGTGTCAGAGATGATGAGGATGTCACAGGGTAAGACAGAGTTCAGATCCAGTGTTCATAGGGTCACAATTAGTCAACTCGACAGGACTTACATCAAACCTTAACAGGAGGAGACTGCACATTTTACTCACCTGGAATTCCTCGTGGACTCAAAACACTGACCTTTCACTTAGCAGCCCGATACCTAGCCTGCTATTAGGGCTCCTTAGTGCAGACAGTAAGCTTGGAAGGAGGAGTGGCATCCACTTCCGTAATAGCTTGCCTCCGGAAACCCTATGAACCTGGAGAGAGGATGAGAGACACCCAAGCGCCGAGGACTTTCCTTCATAGGGTCGCTATGAGTCGCCTGCGACTCAACAGCACTTAACAACAACAACAGTGCAGACAGTACCAGAACAATGTTTCATTCACTACACAAAGGCTTTGACTGTATGGATAACAACAAATGTGGCTAACATTAAGACGGGAATCCCAGAACACTTGATTGTGCTCATGCGAAACCTATACTTAGACAAGGAAGCAGTTGTCAGAACAGAGCAAGGAAGCACGGCATGGTTCAAAGTCAGGAAAAGAGTGCGTCAGGGACACATCTTTTCTTCCTACCTTTTTAGTCTATATACGGAACAGATCATTTGGGAGGCTGAACTTTATGAGGAGGAGTGTGGTGTCAGGACTGGAAGAAGACTCATCAACATGTTATGCAGATGACACAACCCTGCTTGTCTAAACTCGGGAAGACCCGAAGCATTTGCTGCATAAGGTCAAGGACTGTAGTCTTCAATATGGATTGAAGCTCAACATCAAGAAAACAAAGATTCTGACCACTGGGCCAATTGGCAGCATCATGATAGATAAATAAGAGATTAAGATTTTTATCAATTTCATCTTGCTCGAATCCACAGTCAACTCTCTAGGCGCCAGCAGTCGGGAGATTAACAGCACTGGGAAAGTCAGCTGTCAGGGACTTCAGCAGAGTGCTGAAGAGCAAAGATAGCAGTCTAGAGGCGGGTGGTTTTCTCAGTTACTAGCTATGTATCAGAGAGCTGGACAATGACTAAGGTGAACAAGAATAATGCCTTTGACTTTTGGTGCTGGAGAAGAGTATTGAACATACCATGGACTCTCAAGAGAACCAGCAGGTCTGTCCTAGAGAGGATGAAACCAGTTTGCTTCTTGGAGGAAAGGATTTTGAATTTCTGTCTCCCATACTTTGGGCACATGGCCAGGAGGGGCCAGACCTTGGAGAAGGACATCATGCTTGAAAAGGTAGAAGGACAGCACAGGAGAGAAAGACCTCGGATAAGACTGACCCAGTGACTATAGTAATGGGGCCAGATGTGTTGGAGGCCGTGAGATTGGCTCCAGAAATGGCAGGTTTCAGAGCTGTTGTGCATTGGGTCGATTTGAGTTGTAGATGACACAACAGCACATAACAACAACAATACAAATTGAACATATTAAGTTGTCTTGCTGTATGACAAATTTTCCCAAAACTTCATATCTTCAAACAACAAGCATTTACAAGTCTCACGGTTTCTGCCGGTCAGGAATTGGAGGGTGGCTTAACTGGTCTCAAGGTCTTTGATGAGGGCACATCAGGATGTCAGCAGGCCTTGCAGTCATCTAAAGACGTGACTGGGCCTGAAGGATTCTCGCAGGGTGGTACACGCACATGGCTGTTGGCAGGCGGCCTTGGTTCTTCTCCACGGGCTGCCTGAGTGTCCTCACAGCACAGCAACTGCCTTTCCCCAGAGCAAGTGATAAGAGTGAGCAGGGAACGCAGAGAGCCTTTTATGACCAGGTTCACCCTCTGTGCCTTCCGCTTTATGCAATTTGATTCACACTCAAAGGAAGTGGACCCCAGCTCTACCTCCTGAGCAGTCAAAAGAAGCTGCAGATATTTTAAGAAAAAAACACAACAAAGTCTGTGCCTTGTATTAATTTTTCATGCAAATAGTGCTGTTTAGTTCTTAAAGTAATTCCCAGCACAAAAGTCAGCCCTGCCGCACAGTACTGCTAGTCAGTTGAGTCTATTCTGATTTCTCCAAAGCTATGGATACCTGTTTCATGGTTCCAGACAGTTGAATTACTGGTAAATGTTTAACAACCAGTTTTCCAGGGGGAAACGTGCACTGAAGTGTCACATTTCCAGTTTCCATAGTGTAAATACTCCTGTTTTTGTTGTTGTTAAGTGCTGTCCAGTCAACTACAACTCATAGCAACCCTGTGAACAGTGGACCTGAACCCTGCCCTTTCCTGTGCCGCCTCATCTCTGACTCAAGCTCACCATACAGTCACCATATCAGTGCATCTCTCTGAAGGTCTTTCCCTCTGTCATTGACCCTCCACCTTTCCAAGTATCATGTCCTTTTCCAAAAACTGACCACCACCCCCAACAACATGCCCAATATATGTGAGGCTAATTCTTGCCTCCAAGGAGCATCCTGGCTGTACCTTTTTTATGACATACTTGTTTGGTGTTTTGGTGGTCCATGGGACTCTTTTCTAACACCACAAATTAAACATGACGATTCTTCTTTTGTCTTTTTCCATTGTCCAATTTTGCAAGTAATTTACAAGGTCATGATTTAGAACAGGTGTGCCTCAGTCTTCATCCTGACATCATTGCTTTTCAACACTTTGGAGCAGACTTTCCCAATGCAGTACATCTTTTGATTTCCTGGATTCTGGTGCCAAGGATGTTGGTTGTGGGTCCAAACAAGATGAAATCAATATATTCTCTATCATGATATCATGATGAGGAATTTTGTTTCCTTGATGTTGAAATACATGAAGGCTGTAGTTTTCAGCCAATGTTTGAAGCAAGCCGACTTGTGTCATCTGCATAACAAAGGTTGTCGATGAGTCCTCCTCCATTCCTTATGCCACATTCTTCTTCACAGAGTTGAGTTTCTTGAATGGTTTGCGCAGCCTACAGGTTAAATAGGTACGGAGAAAGGATACAGCCCTGATGCTCACCTTTTCCTGATTTTAAACTATAACCAATTTCGGGCTACCCGCTCACAGTCACTGTGTGGAGTTAGGATGAGATGCATGCATTTGACTCTCAAAGCTGGTGGGGGCCGACTCCAACACTCTGCTCTAAACTGGCCTCTCCAGTCACTGCTGGTAAACTGACTTCTGTTGTGCCAATTCAGTGACCATTAAACCCACTGAATTCTCTCTCAGGGTGAGTGAGCTGTTCTGTCAAGATCTCGATCAGAGTGCTGTAGCACCTACCTCCAGTGGGTGATTAGAATATCACTGATGAAATACGTACAATGAGGGAAGAAATAAAAGAACAAGTGTGCAGACTGGTAAAGGGTTTGGCTCAGCGTAAGCAGTCATAAAGCTCAGCGACAGCCACTGTCCCTTTACAGTCATGGTGATAACAACAATGACAATGATAACAGACGTTTTGACTTTGACTCGCTAAGCCAGTACCTAACAACAACATCTCACTGACACCAAGGTTCTTGCCTGACTATGAAGAACCCACCCAAGTCCCTACTCCCCAGGAGCTCACATTCTAACTGGGGAAACAGTTGCCACCATGTGTCAGTATGTGTCGTAAGTGCTAGGACTGCAGGAGCCAGTTGGGGTGCTGTGAAGTTAGGGTTACTCTCCAAGGATGAAGACTTTCAACAAGAAATGGCCTTAAGTAGAGGTGGGAGAGGAGCATTTACTCACCAGGAAAGGGGAGGGGGATGGTACTATACAGCAGAGAAGTCTTCAGAAGCAGAGGGTAAGGGTGTGGCTTGAGGACTGTGGTGCCCTTGGGAAATCACACCACATGGTGGGATGGATCATGGGGTGGCTGTGAGGGATGAGGCTGGGAAGCTTGCAGAGGCCCCACATGCTGAGCTGAGATCTCCGATTTCCTCAGGAGCCCGTGAGTAGTGAGCCAGCCTTGGGCACTGGGCAGCTGTGACATGTGCCGCTGCCATTGTTTCCAATAGCGCCATGTCTTCTCCCCACAGGCCTGGGAGGCCAGCCTGACCATATACCTCTCCTTCATCCCAGGTACCAGGGTAAAGAGGGCTGGGCCCCCGCCTCCTACCTAAAGAAGAGCAGTGGTGAGCCCTTGCCCCCAAAACTGGGCCCCGGCTACGCAGCCCACTCAAATGTCCCTGACCCGGACGGCATTTCCCGGCAGCTGAACGCGGTGGGCCGGGAGAAGGAGCTGCTCAACAACCAGAGGGATGGCCGGTTCGAGGGCCGCTTGGCACCTGAAGGCGACATGAAGCAGAGTGAGTGATGAACACCAGGCTCTGGGGGTGGTGGGGCCTCCCATGTGCTAAGTTCTGTTTCAGACCTTTTGCATTTTGTCCCTTATCCTCCTAACAGCCCTGTAGCTTGGAAACCCCAGGTGATGCACGTGACAGAACCTGAGTCAGGAGGTGGCACTGTCCTACCCCCAGCCCATGTTCTTGTCACTTTCTTATGTAGTCACGAAGCTCCTGTTTGTGAGCTCTTGCTATGTACAGGAACTTTGTCATATTTAGTGTCATAGATTCTACACAACAACCTCATAAGAAACAAATTACCTTGGGCTTACGTATGGGGAACAGAGATGGGATTTGTCCAAGGCCTCCCAGCTAGTAAATAGGGGAGCCAGGATTGAATTCAGGCCTGTCAGCCTTCAGAACTTTCTCTCCTTTCACTCCAGGAAGCTCTGTGTTGAGTTTATCCTAATGATACTCCTTTATCTATGTTGCTTTTCAAAGCATCCCGCATATAACTGAGAGTAGGGTTCCTTCTGCCTGTATCATACCCAGGACTCCACCCTCACACCCAGTGCTATGGTCCGGTCCCGATCACATGGGAAGGACTCCCAACTGTAGGAACAGTGTCACTTGACCTTGGCTAGGATTCTCCAGGATGTTTCTGCCAAGTAATTGTTACTGTCAATAAACTTGAATTCCAAGACCTTGAAATCCAAGACTCATACATCTAAGAAAACGCTGATCATGTTTTATCATAGGCCAGGGCAGGAGTTCTGGGCAACCCTGACTTTTTTTTTTTAACCCTGACTTTTTAAAAGTCTAATTTGTCGTGGCCACAAGCATGGGAAGATCCCCATTAAGATCCTCAGAGGAGCAAATGGAATGCAGAAACCCATGTCTCTATGGTGATGTAGGTTTCTGTACTATTATAAAGATCCTCACACACAGAGACATACATACTCCTAGTAAGTGTGGCTTGAATGAGTGGGATGCTGCTTTTTCATTAAACAGTCCAGATGTACATATCCAGGGCCTGTGAGGCAGCTCCCTGGAGTCAGGGGCCTTTGTTGTGTTGCATTTATTTTCTTACCATGATATCCTCAGAGTGTGCTGCCCAAACCAAGGATGATTCACCACAATTCCAGCTGATAAAAAGGAAGGGAGAGAAGTGAGGGTGGGGGAATAAAAATGAAAGTTAATCATTGGTCAGAACTTAGTCACATAGTCATACCTAGCTGCAAGGGAGTCCAGAAGAAACTGTCATCTTTATTATAGGTACCTAAATGTCTGGCTCAGAAAAGGTCTACTACTGGTTATTATAATAGAACTTAAAAAACCCTCATTAACATCAAGTTGGAACCACCTCATACCTGACCTTCCAGTGGGTTTTCAGAAGTTGTAAATTGCATGAGAGGAGACTGCCCAGGTGGCATCAAACCCCAGAAGAGATACAGCCTTTGTGTTAGAAGCCCAATTCCATGTAGCCTATGTTCTCAGAGTTCCCCTATTAAGAGAAAAGAAAAAATGAGTATTTGTGGGATTAGCAGTCTATTCCACATTCCAAATCTCAGACTTCCCCTCATGTGGACCCATATCTGTCAGCCCTGCTGACATCTAGGTTACTATATTCAGCCCAGACCACTGCAGAATCTTCCTCCTGACCCCTATGCCCCGGAGCTCATATGTTTTCTCCCCAGTTTGCTTGGGTCTGTTTCTTTAAGCTTTGTGCAGTTTGAGTGTGCTGTAGATGTTGCAGAATCAAGGGCAGCGACATCTATAGCATGCTTGTCACCAAGAGCGTCCCGCCTGTTCACCGTAATCTGCACCACTGCCCCGGGAGCCATGCATTGTCCCTGTCTTACCGGTCAGGGCCTTGCTGCTCAGAGGGTCAGTCAACTTGTGTATAGCCAGAAGCCAGCAAGCTTCAAAGCTGGAATCGGAACTCTCATCAGTACTATTTATTCTTAAACCTACACTTCTTGGAAGCCATTCCTGGCAAGTTTTTCATCTCTCCCTAACACAGCACTTTCCCCTTCCTATTCATGCCTGCATAGAAAAGCCCTATTGATAGAGGGTCTTGAGCCAAGCATTACAGTCCTTCCTGATCTGGCTTTTCTCCCTGAGAAGATTCACCACAGCACACAGATCCCTGTGCTTTCTGCCTTATTTTCTGCAAGAGACACTATGTCTTTCTTGATGTCTGCTTTGGAGAGCTTATCAGTAAGGTTCAGCATGTGAGTAAAATAAAGTCTCGTTTCTCCTTAGGGTCACCAAAGATGAGGCAGAGACCCCCTCCTCGCCGGGACATGACCATAGTAAGTGGACACTCGTCACCAGGAAGCCTGCTTGAGGGCTGGGATACCCAGCGCTTGTCCCCACTGTCTCCAGCTCACCTCGTCCTTTCTGCCCTGCGAAGCAGACTGGACAAGTACTATCCCACTGAGTTCTGGAAATGAAGTCCAAGAAGGTGAAAGCATTTGCCCTTGATCCTAGAAGTATGTGTGTGCCCATCTGGCCTCAGCACAATGACTATACTTCTCCTTTTACTTTTGTCTCCTCCAGTGAGACAACTTGAAGCCCCCAGGTAATGCAAAATAAAATTTGTAGTATCATTTTTTTTTTTAAATCTTCAAGCACATTTTTAGCAGTACATTGAAAAATGGGTCTTTTTAATGTCTAGCATTACCTGAACACCTATTGGATGCCATACAATATGCTGGATGCTGTATTACATTATCTTATTTAGTACTTGTAGTGACCCCACCAGATAGATATAATCTTTATCCCGTGTTCTAAGGGAGATAAAAGTGCAGCTCTAGAAGGGAAGGTGGTTTGCCCAAGGTCACACAGGTAAACAGTATTTGCAAACCAGATGGTGCTAACTGTGGTTCTATCCACAACTCTCGCTGCCTCTTAAACTGAGAGGATATTCTCTTTCACCAGATATACCATGATTATAGCCTGATGTCCTGTCCTTTCATTTCTTGAAAGCTGAAGGCCCTCAACTCCTGTTGACGAAAGACAGTATGAGAAGTCCTTTGTCTTGTCCCTTCCAAATAGGCCCACCGGCCACTCCATGAGGGTTACAGTGCACCCTGGTTCCGTGTGACCCACCAACATCAGTGGGCAGCCCTAGTCCCCTATTGTCCAGTGTTGCGCTGATATGAGTTTTAACTGTGTTTAACTACCAGCCTCGAGGTCTGAACCTGCCGAAACCTCCCATCCCACCCCAAGTGGAGGAAGAATATTACACCATTGCCGAATTCCAGACAACCATCCCCGACGGCATCAGCTTCCAGGCCGGCCTGAAGGTCGAGGTGAGTGTGCCTGGCATCCTGGAGCACAGGTCTTCATTCTAGACATCACCTCCTACTTCCCTGGCCATGTCCTGCTCTTCCACTTACATATTAACCTTTGTCCCCCATTGCTAACGGGTTAAATGGCATACACATACCATACAATTCACCATGTAAAGTGTATGAGTCATTGGTGCTTGATAGATCCACACCAGTGTTCAGCTCTCACCACAGTCAATTTTAGAACATTTTCAGTACCCTAAAATGTCCTCATTAATCATTACCTGATCCCAGTGTCCCCCGTTCTCCTCAGTCCTAAGAAACTACTATTAATCTACTTTGTTCAACTAAGAATCTTTTTTTATTATTCTTTTTCTTTATTGATGTTTTAATAAAGATGTACAGAAAACTTGGATTTCCATTCATTCATTGTTACACTTTTCCCTCCCTACCCACCCCCAGTTCGCTTTTCTCTTTAAAAAGATTCTTTCCTTATTGCACAATTTCCTCCCCCCCTCCCCCAAATCTACTTTCTGTTTCTGTATTTGCCTGTTCGGGGCACTTTATATAAATGGAGTCACACTGTATGTAGACTTTTGTAACTAGCTTATACTCTTTTTTTTAATCACTTCCACTTTCCCTTCCTTCTTCTCTGTCTTCTCTCCTTCCTATTTTTTTCTGCTTATGTGCCGTTTTTGCTGAATTGAGGCCAACATAAATCCTTTCTCTCCTTTCATTTCTCTTCATGGGTTGAGGGCTCTAAGGTGTTTCCCGTGCCTCAGGGACGTGGGGTAATAGCAGAGGTTCGGAGATCATGATCCTTCTGCCAAGATGATTCTTGGGGAAGTTTTCAAAAACAAATGAGCTTTGTGTAGATAGTGGTGGACATGAGACTTTATACATTTGTCAGAAATCATGGGGCAGGACAATACAGAATGAACCCTGTTGCAAATGATGGACTTTCATTAATTATAATGCATCAATTATAACAAAGGCATCACATGAATACATGGTGATAATTATACGGAGAACTGTATGAAGTGGAGAAAAGAAATATTTGAGAACATTAAGCTTTCTGGGAGATTTTTGTGTAAAGCTAAAACATGTCTTCAAAGTAATAATAATAAAAGTTAGATCAATAAAGAAATGTCTCCACTTTGTAATGCATGAGAGTTAGCCAGCCCATATTGAGAGGTTTAATTTATTCCTCTCTCCAGCATAATCCACATTGCGTGCCTCCTATGGATGCCTGTACCCACACCCATTCTCCAAGGTCTAGAGAATGGTCTTTCCTTTGTTCTTTTCTCTAAAGAACACAACTCTGAGGCCGGGCACAGCACTGCATGGCACACTGCCCCTGTTAACCAGTCCTTCCAGCGTCCAGTTCTCCTGTTCTAAGTGACAGTGACTTCCCATCAGACACTGTATCTGAGCCCAGATTCTCCCCACACTGTAGCCAAGAGGGGAGCTCTAAATCCTGTGGCCATTGGACTCTCATATTCTCTTTGGCTTACCTGGAAATTGAAGAATCTTGATGTTTCACTAGGGGGAAATCTGTTTGTGATTTGACTTTGCTATGGGCCCACAACAGTAGAAGGAAAAGTAGAAATAACTCCAAGATTCTAAAAGGCTGTTTGTCTGCCTTTTTTCCTCTGTTCTTTGTGCCATTCTGGCCTTTCCTATTTCAGATCCACAGAAGTAGCTCACCGAGCATCTTGTTTGTGCTCCACGTTAATTCTGTACACACTTCCCCTACCTCGCTGTCCCATTCTGCCTGCTTCCCTCCATGGCTTCATGATGAAGCATTGTTCCTCAGCCTTATTACCCATGGCTGTCCTCCAAACGCCTCTGGCCAACCCGACCCTTCACCTTTCTCTGCCAGGAATGACCTTCCTTCAGCCCACGTCCAAACCATCTACCTGCTTCTCATAGAAGGCATTCAAGGACATTGTATGTCAGAATCCAACTCTTCAAATTCCTACCATCACCCAGCCTTTCTTGATTTCCCCTCCTTCCACACTGCATCAGTTTTTCTGTGGTCAAATATCTCTGTCCTTAACTAAAGAGCAGTCCTCATTTCTCTAAATGAATGTTTTCTTTTTCAGTGATTGTTTGTATATTGAGTGTTCAGTGTATTTTTCCTCAGTGCTTTGAACATATAATTTCATTCTCTTATATCCAGTGTTTCTAGTAAAAATTTCTGCAAACCTGACTCTTATTTTTCTCATTGCCTCTTGATTTTGCAAATTCTTTCCTGGGTTACTCATTATCTGCAATATACTGAAAGTTCACTTAAGTATGTCTGTTGTTATTGTTGTTTTTGTTTGCTGTTGAGTCAGAATGAACCCATAGCTGACCCTCCAGCAGGTCTTCAGAGACAGTAAATTACATGGATGGAGATTGCCCATCCTTCTTCCGTACGTCTAGGCATGTTGCTGTAGTTAGGTGTCACCGCGTCGAGTATGACTCATAGCAGCCCTGTGAACAGCAGATCAGAATCCTGTCCTATCCTGTGCCATCCTCACACTTCCTGACACATAAGAGCCCATTGCAGCAGTCACCACATCAGTCTACCTAGAAAAAGGTTCCTCTCCTTTGCCAACCTTCCACCCTTCCCAAAATCATGTCTCTCTCCAAGGAATAGCCCCTGCTAGTAACATGCCCAAAGTATGTGAGGCAAAGCCTCATCCTCTTTGCCTCCGAAGAGCACTCCAGCTGCAGCCTCTCTAAGACATATTTGTTCTCTTGGCTGGTCATGAGATGTACAATGCTCTTCTCCAACACCACAGCTCAAAGGCATCAATTCTTCTTCTGTCACCCTCATTCGTTGTCCAGTTCTCAGATTGTCTCAGTTTTCTATGCATACATCTATTGTTGTCTTTCTCAGCATGTTATGGACCTTTGCAAACTTTGTCAGCAATTCTTTTTAGTCTTTCCTTCTGTGACTATTATTAACAGATATGGGACCTTCTGTTCTCCATGTCTTCTCATTTTCTTTTGTATGTTCTACCTTTTTGGTTTATGTTTTATTTCTTTTTAAGACCATCATCTTTACTCTAAATGATAGTAGCAAACGTATTTCTCAGAGTATTTGATGTTCTAAAAGAGGGGCAGTACAGCAAAAAGGCGAGGGAAAGATGCCGAACATGGTTGTTATTGGTGCAGTCATTTCAGCTATCACTCGGAGCAACCCGATAAACGGCACTTCTGGCCGTGCCCTGTCCTGCATCATCACCCCCACGATCTGTCATGCTCGAGCCCGTTGTTCTAGTCATGGCTCGGTCCAGCTCTTCCACTGACCTCTCGACCTTTCCCAGCATGCTATATTTTCCGAAGACTGGCCCCTCTGACAACACGGGTAGATGAAAAAAGAATTTAAAGAAGAGACAGTGGTCTGTGGTCTCTAACCAGCTCTCCAAAAAAGGCTTCTATGGCCAGGGCATTCTAACACCATTGAAAGGCAGGCTGGAGGTATCTGGCTGGGTTCTCAGATTGTTCTCTCTTTTCAGCCTCCACTTTGGGGCCTGAATAGCCAATGCTTCCTGGACCTTGTCCCAGTGAGATAGAAGGGGGCGTGGTTAGGAAAGAGGATGGGACTTCAGTGGGGGGAGGAGATCCCGTGTGCCACTGCCCCCTGCAGGACGCAGCGAGACCCCTGTTAGGTTCTGAAAGCTTTCTACTTCATTTTCTAGCTCATTAACGTATACTTTAGTGACTTAGCCTGCTGATTATTTCACTTCATAATTCATCTTTTTCTTTCATTTCCAAGTGCTTATATTGTTGGGGATTTTTTTTTTTACAACAACTTGTTCTTGTTTCATAATAGTGTTCTTTCATGAATTTGAAGTGCTTCTCTATCTCTCTAAGGATATAAAATATATTTCATTTAAGGTCTTATTATTATTTATTAGTTGTAAATTCTTCTCAGTGGTATAGGTGATTATTTCAAATCTTTTCATAGGACTGGTTGTGCATAGAGGCGGCAGTCACTGAGCCTGCTTGGAAGGTATACAGGTGGAGCTGAGCTGGCCTGCTTCCACTGGTTTAAGTACTAAATTGCAGAATTCTGAACGACTGAACAGTATCATGGGTCTCTGACCCAAGCTACCACATTCATATTTTTGTCTGTAAGCAGTCACTTTCTTTTCTCCTGCTTGCCTTTACAAAAAAGGAACAAAGGACGTGTAGAGGCAGCCGCCGCTGTCATAGCATTCTTGTTAATCTTTGCCAGTTGCTCCCGGGCCTCCCCTGGTCCCAGTTCTCCCACCTTGGAGTCTGACAGGCCCCAGTGCTGCTCTCACCTTTTATAGAAGAAGCCACTACAGCAATCCTCTGCACGGTCCACAGCTACCCTGTGCAGCTTCAGTCAGTGATCCCTCACAATTGCTGATCTACTGACTTCTCCCCTTCTCTCTTCAGAGCTTGGCTTTGTATTTCTTTCTTTCCCTGGGTTTGCTGAATAAAGGGAAAACTTCTGTTTGCTCTGTCTCTCATCATGAAACCAGAAGTTTGGCTTGCACACTGTTAAGGGGATTCTTTCTCAGAGAGCTCGGAAACATTATAAAACCTTCTCCTTAGGATACAGCCTTTTGAAGGTGCTTCTAGCATTTTGTACAAACATTCACCATCATTTGGACATGCTGACACTGAACGTTTGCCAACAGGCACCTCCACTCCCTGGCTCAGAATGTTCATACATCTGCCAGGAGAGCTCGGGAGAATGTCATGGAGAATACACCAGCATGAGGGCTCCTGGAGCCCTGCGCAATGGGCTCTGTGGACTTCCAGGTGTCCTGAGGACTGTGCTCAGGTCTCACCACTGCTCCCACCATTTCCCTTTGTTTCTAGCTTTTATGTGAGGTTTTTATTGGATCTGCTTTAACAAAAATAGATATGATAAAGGCTGGTGGATTTGAACTAGCTGATGACCTAAGTGGGTAAGAAGTTGCACTGTTTACCCAGTAAGCCACCAGAGCCCTTTAGCTTCATTCTTGCCTTTGGGTGTGGGGTGGATGTGGGTA